ATACACATCATCATATAATTCTTGTAACATTTCATAACATCAAAAGCATATACATGACATATATTATATTTGTGCTATCTCTTTAATTAGCCCATGGTACACTTGTGAGAATTAAGGATATGTGAGTGCATTGAGGTTGTGCACAAATGTTGTCACCACAGCTCGTAAAATTCCCACTAGGGGCACTGAAATTTGTCCCGAAGGACCACTATGTCCCGTAGGACCACTGTAACTCATGTCACATACAATAACATTTTAAGAGTTACTTCTTACCATAATAACTCCGTCACTGGCTCATCGCAAGCCAATGTTCATTCTATAACATAAGCACAATTAAATTGCACTCACCTTAGCCTTGCTTTGATTCGATCCTAATTCTTTGATTGTTCTGAAACTTGTTTAGGCTCAATATATACATAAATATAACATTTCAAAATAATTATCATAAACCTAAACCTTAAACTTTATGTTAATAACTTAAGTCGGTTTAATGAACCAAAATTCCATTTTTTTTCTTTAGGGGGTATCTGTACCCCCTGCATAATCTGGAATTTTCGTTCAAGAGGTATCTTAAGCACGAAAATTCACTCTTTCAACTTTAATTCTTCAAGTTTCATTTCATTTCATATTCTTAACTCAAATATACATACTTAAACTAATTTATATCCATTTATTTTATCTTAAACCTCAAAATTTTATTCTCCATATAGAAATCAATAATCATACCAAATTTTCCATGTTATCCAAACTTAATTCTAACACTTCTAACTTCTTATTCTCATAGATGACAAGTCAAATTCATCCTCCAAATTCATTTAAACCTTCATATTCAAAATTTCACTTCAAAACCATTTTCTTTAATATGTCATAACTCATTTATCTTTTGATTTTAAGATAACTTAAGTTTTCCTTAAGCTTAGTTATCATCTAATGATCAAAACCCAACCTTTAATTCAACAAATAATCAACAAAATAGAAAACTCACCTTTGCCTAGCTTCCACGGGAAGGAGGAAGAAAAAAGAAGAAGAAGAAGATGATGAAATGTTTTCATCTCCCCACGTTTTTATCTCTTATTAAAGGGGAGAAAAAATATCTTTCCTTGTCAATTGACCATTTTGCCCTTTAATTCATTCGATAATTACTAACAACTTTCTGGAAATATTCCCAAATAAATCATTGAACTATTCAATTACTCTACTTTAATTACCAAATTCTGAAATTTTACAATTTAGTCACTAACCCGTAATTTGGGATGTTACAAATCTCCCCTCCTTTTAAGAAAATTTTTCCTCGAATTTTCATTGCACACTTTGACAAAAACATATATTTTAATACTCTCAGGTTGTTTCATTTATTTAATCTTTCATTCCTTTAGTTCTTCAACTAACTTTTTCCCTTATCATTCATCTACTGTAGTTTATCATATAAACAGTAACAAATAATCTCAATTTATTTCTGTCTTTTATTCTGCATTTTTCTTTGACCTTTAAAAAAAACTCCATATAATATCACTCATCACGTAAACAGTAACATCCAATCCTTACTACTTAATATTATGAATCAATTGATTTCCTTCATCATTCTTTAATTGCTTTACACCATAAACCAAATATTTACTCATTCCTTAATTCTTGTCTGTATTACAATACAGAAAATCTTTTCATATAATCTCACGTACTTGTTCAAGGAATAATCACCCTTTTATAAAAAATATATTAACTTTAAATCTTCTTCAAACGTAATTAAACATATATTTTATAGAATCAAACAATCTTTTCACATCACCTTACATACTTTTCGTATTTCTATCTCAAACTTATCGTTTACACTTCCATATACCATTTATCATACTAACCCTTTAATTTCTTTTTCATTTAATTTCCTTATCCCTTTACTCCTTCACAAATCAAAAATCTTCTTGCAACATAGATCATATCTTTCCTTCAAACTCTCATACTTTGTTCATATTACTTATACGTATCCCTGATTATTGATTTTTATCGCATCTTCGTAACTTTGATAATCCCCTTTTTTATACATGATTTCTTCCTTTACCATCTCTTGTATAAATAATTTCTTATTTAATCTTATACAAATACTTATTTCTTTGCTTACATCATATCTATATGATCAAAATACACAATCAAATCCAGATTCATATCATACTTGATTAACTCACTTTATATTTTCTTCCAATCTTACAACTCTATCACCTTTACTCTATAGCTAGTCAATAATAATTATTCAATCTAGGGCACAAGCCCTAATCATTCAATCATATACATCCCTTTCAATCAAAATATCCCAACAATAGCTTACTTAACTTATCAAATCCAAATTTATTCTTATACACCATGTAATTTTCTTTGTTCACACTCAACATTTCAACGTCTTCCATATAAAATAATCACCGACGTACCTATTTCTTAAACTTTTTCCAAAACAATATTCACATCAATGAATCTTCCTTTATTCCCATTATAACATTTGTTTACCATATTTTAGCTCAACCGCATAGCAACTAAATTATTTCATCTAACTTTTCCACTTTAGAATAGTGGAGATCCTCTAACATTATCCAGTTGCACATTTAATTTTTTGAACGAAATACTTAACTTTTTAATCTGGGGTACAACCCTTATCAACTCAATCATATACCTTCTTTTCCGTTGAAATTTTCCTCAATGGTATCTTACTCAACTTTTCAAACTCATACTCTTACTCACACACAGTACTAGTCCTCTGTTTCAAAATAACTTTCTTTATCTTATAAACTGCTCACTGATATATTCATTCTTAAACTTTTCTATTACTTTTTATCTTCTCTTAAACATTCAAATCCTTATATCCTTCACTACATCACATTACATAATTAAAATATACATTGTATTCGAATCCACTTCATATTTGATTATCATAACCTAACAATATCTTATAATTTCAATACATTTCCATCACATAATTTTTTTAGCCATTGCTAACTCTTTCCATCTATAATGCAAATCCCTTATCATATCCACACTCTTGCTTATACACAATACTATTTACACTTCTGATATTCCTTTTCACATATCACCTCTTCAATAAATCTTTCATGCTATCATAATCTTCACTTCATTACTTTAATTCTTTCATTACCTTTTTCCCTTATGCTTTTACATTCCTTTCATATCATTTATACTTTTCCTTCTTTATCCTTTTAACTTTTCTATCAATCCTTAGTTTCCGTCAAACATACAAATCTTTTAACTTTAATACATTCACTATCACACTACTTTATTATTCAACTTATTTCTTTCAATCAAAACATAAACCTTCATCAAACTATCCATATAAATATATTCTTTCCATTCAAAATAATTCATTCTCTATTTTCTTCACTTATCAAACCTTTATTCTCACTCGTCCATAATACAATTCCTTTGGTTCGAATTCAACCATTTCATTTACCTTTGTCTTATAACTGATCACTGATATATATATATTCTTAAACCCTTCCTTGGTCTTTTAATATTCTCCAATAAACATCAATCTCTTCCACTTTATCTTGCCCATGCTGTAAAGAAACTATTCTATTTCAGAACAATAAAGTTCCTTTAATACTATAATTTCCAATCCATCTGAACTGATTGGTTTTATTATCTGGCGAAGAATACAACTAATTATATTCAGTTTAAAGTTAAAAACCAGAATCTATACCTTTCTTTGATGGTGCTTAATTTTATTAAGCACTAATTTTCTTAATAATCTAAGATTTTTGTTCTTCAATCCTTTCATTTTGAGCTCTCTCAAGAACTTTAACGCGATTAACAATTTCTTGAAATGATAACAAATTCAAAACCAGTAACACTCTTTTAATTTAAGGCGCAAGCCTTCAACAATCAATCACATGTATCCCTCTTATCCTTCTTAATATGAATCAATCCAGTAATAAATCTGCTTTAACTTATTAAACTTATACTCATACACATACATGTGTAATTCCCTTGCTTCAAACTCATATATTTAAGCTTCATTTGTCTTATGAACTGGTCATCCATGTACTTATTATTGAACTCTTCTACAAACAATAACCACATCACTTGATCTTTCAACATTCTTATGGTGACATTTTTCCACCATACTTCTAGCTTACCCACGTAGTAACGAAACTACTCAATTTAACTTCTCCACTTTGGAGAAATGAAAATCTTCTAACATTATATTCCTATTATTTAATCAAATGTCTATAACAATAGAACATTTCTCAAATTCACCCTTGAACTCGGGTGTTCTCAACTCATTTCGATATATTCATTCTATGAATTATAGAAGTATAAAATTGAAAACATAATAAAATATCATTCCAAATCATATAATATTCTCTAATCTTATACATGCACTCCCTGAGGTATTCGCTTTTCTCCCTGCCTGACCAGGGCAGATGAATGTAATTATCTTCAGGTCTATCGCCTTGTGCTTCACTTTGGAAGCTCTCATGATCATACTTATAATATAACATAATAATTTAACTCTATTAACAAGACAATACACTCCTTACACTATCATATAAGGAAATTTTTCACTTTGTGTTGGCATGTATAATTTTTAAAACACTTTCGACTTCGTTTTAGCCTAAAATCCGCTAAACTGTAGCTCTGATACCATTAAATGTAACACCCCAACCCGTACCCGACCCAGATACGAGTCTGAGATGTCACATTAACTCTTAAAAACGATATTCTTACAAAATATCAAAACATTTGAACTCATTTTAAGAAAATACGATCATATATTATTGAATTGTGTTTGTTATAAAATTTTGAGACAAAAAACGTATTTATAAACAGTAAAATATGGTATACACATTAATGAATAGCACCGTGAACAGTACCCGAATGTTAAAATTTTCCAGATTGTAATAGGGGAATCGATTCTCCTGCTACAGGGAAACGATACCCTGCTACAATACTGCTACAGTATTTCAGTAAAATATATATAAAATCTTAAAATTTAAAACTTTCATCTCTATACATTTACCATTTACATATATACGTTTAAAACATTCCAAAACTCGATCAGAGCGTATCCAATACAAATCCTTTATTTATTACATGCCAACTAAATTCTTTCTAACAAAATACATGTAATTCGATCTACATTTCTGATATGATCTTTGGTAAGGAGAACTGACCTGTCTTGTTCCTCTTTATTTCTCTTTTCTCTTTCCAAACCTACGTGTGAAACAATCACAAGCTAAGTCGATGACTTAGTGAGGCATATAAAACATATAATATAACCATATATCATTTCATAAAACAAAAGGCATACATCTGCAAATACTATCATTAATCACTTTTACTTACCATATATTCATCATATAATACATATAGCACTATACCAAAGAATAAATATATCGTCATTTACCTTTTTAGCATTATCCTTAATCCCTTAGTTATATGCTCTTGTATCTAACATTCTTAACCAAACAATATACACATCATCATATAATTCTTGTAACATTTCATATCATCAAAAGCATATACATCACATATATTATATTTGTGTTATCTCTTTAATTAACCCATGGTACACTTGTGAGAACTAAGGATATGTGAGTGCGTTGAGGTTGTGCACAATGTTGTCACTACAGTTCGTACAATTCCCACTAGGGGCACTAAAATTTGTCCCGAATGACCACTATCTCCCGTAGGACCACTGTATTGTCCCGAAGGACCACTGTATTATCCCGAATGACCACTATGTCCCGTAGGACCACTGTAACCTTAGACTCTTGGCATGCCAACTATACCACTAGCTCTCATATCACATAACATGGGCAATATCATTTATATCATTTCATATATTCACATGCACATTCCACTTTTCATATGATTTCATAATCATATGTTACTTAGCTTATAACACTTCTCTTGTGTTCATATGACATGTAAATCATTGTCATCTCTTGTTATCATATGCTTCACATACATCACTTATCGCATATACTATATTCACATACTTCAATATCATTTGACTTATTTCACTTTATTACATTAAATGATATATATATAGTCTTATGTGCCCTATCAATAGTATCTGTTCATATAATCTCATTTTACCTTATCAATAAATACTACTTATTTTGTCTCACCTTTTCATTTATTTACATAAGCCATTTAGTACTTACAAGAACATATTCACTCATATAATCAAGCATACACACATTTCATATCATTCATTTCATTTTCTATATCCTTATCAAATAACTTATTTTATTTCTCATGTTCTTATGTAAGCACATATATATATATATATATATCACACAACGCATAGAACATCATGTTAAACATATCACATATACATATAATCATGTAACTCATGTCACATATAATAACATTTTAAGAGTTAGTTCTTACCATAGTAACTCCATCACTGGCTCATCGCAAGCCAACGTTCATTCTATAACATAAGCACAATTAAATTGCACTCGCCTTAGCCTTGCTTTGATTCGATCCTAATTTTTTGATTGTTCCAGAACTTGTTTAGGCTCAATATCTACATAAATATAACATTTCAAAATAATTATCAGAAGCCTAAACCTTAAACTTGATGTTAATAACTTAAGCCTGTTTAAAGAACCAAAATTCCATTTTTTTTTCTTTAGGGGGGAATCGATACCCCCTGCATAATCTGGAATTTTCATTCAAGAGGTATCTTAAGAACGAAAATTCACTCTTTCAACTTCAATTCTTCAAGTTTCATTCCATTTCATATTCTTAACTCAATTATACATACTTAAATTAATTTATATCATTTATTTCATCTTAAACCTCAAAATTCTATTCTCCATATAGGAATCAATAATCATACCAAATTTTCATGTTATCCAAACTTAATTCTAACACTTCTAACTTCTTATTCTCATAGATGACAAGTCAAATTCACCCTCCAAATTCATTTAAACCTTTCTATTCAAAATTTCACTTCAAAACCCATTTTCTTTAATCTGTCATAACTCTTTTATCTTTTGATTTTAAGACAACTTAAGCTTTCCTTAAGCTTAGTTATCATCTAATGATCAAAACTCAACCTTTCATTCAACAAATAATCAACAAAATAGAAAACTGACCTTTGTCTAGCTTCCACGGGAAGGAGGAAGAAAAAAAAGAAGAAGAAGAAGAAATGTTTTCATCTCCCCACGTTTTTATCTCATATTAAAGAGGAGAAAAATATCTTTCCTTGTCAATTAACCATTTTTCCCTTTAATTCATTCGATAATTACTAACAACTTTCTTAAAATATTCCTAAATAAATCATTGAACTATTCAACTATTCTACTTTGATTACCAAATTCTGAAATTTTATAATTTAGTCACTAACCCATAATTTGGGATGTTACATTGGTAACCTAACCTAACATACATAATTTGTTGTAACTTTGGTAATCATATACATAATTTACAAGCTAATTGTGCTAAATAAATACATACAAAATTAGGCAAAACGAACATCATTGTTTTCTCCCTCTAACTGTATTCTATTTTTTCATATGTCTCATGCAAGCACTTGTCAACTTATCTCTCCTTTTATTTTGTTTGTGATTTATGAGATCGTTTAATATTCTCATACGGTCCCACTCTCCAATAATCTATATTCAAATTGTCATTATGTTATCTCATCATTCAATCTAATAGTTTACAAATTTAAAATCAAAGTAATTTTTCAAACTACTTACCACTTCATCTGTTTACCTCTAATAGTGATCCCTTCCATCCACATCATCACAAAAAAATGTCGCAATCATGTCTATTAAAAAATTGATTACCACAAATTTCAAATATGAAACTCTAATAAATATTTCACTTCTTACATACGCAAATTTCATACCCATTCAATTGAGCATTCATTTTATGCTCCACAAATGTGAAATCTTTCAATGGGACTTTCAGTTTCCCACATGTATTAGAAATATCGTTTCCTTGTTATACTTATCTAATTCTGTCATCTGCATGAAAAAATATAAAGTTAGATTACTAACAAATTATTCATTATAAATTATTTTTTCCTTTCAAATATACCAATTTTTCGCATTTTGCACTCTCTTTTTTACCCTTGGTGATGAAATGGACTGTAACATCCGCAATACCGGGTTAGTGACTAAATTGTAAAGTTTTAGAATTTGGTGACTAAAGTAAAAGAATAAAATAGTTCAATGATTTATTTTGAAATATTGCCTAAAAGATGTTAGTAATTATAAGGTGAATTGAAGGACAAAAGGATCATTTGCAAGGAAAATATTTAAATATGATTATATATTTAACACGTGGAAGGGAAGAGGAAACAAAGTGGTTTCCAAATTCTCTTCATATTTCTTTTCCTTCACGCGTAAAAACCAAGAGCCAAAGGTGAGTTTTCTGATTATTGAGTTTTTGGTTAAATTTAAGATTGTGTTTTGATTATTAGATGATAACTAAGCTTAAGGAAAGCTTACGTTATCTTAAAATCAAAGTATGATAGAGTTAGGAGGGATTAAAGATTTAAGGTTCTTGGATGAAATCTTGGAATATAGTTCTTAACTAGAATTAGAAGTTAAATTTGACTTGTCATCAATCTAATTAAGAGATATGAAGTAATAAAATTTGATTTGGAACATGTTAGAAATTGAGTATAATTCTTGAATTACATATGGAGAATAGGATTTTGATGTTAAAGAGGTGATTAATGAATAAAAACGAGTTTGAATATGAGTATGTAAGTTAAGAATAAGAAAGAGGAGGATGTATGAAGTAATTAAGCTGAAAAGAGTGGATTTTCGGGCATAAATTGGATTTCTGGGCTAGTGTGCATCGGTACACATTCATCATGTATCGATGCATCAGGGGTAAATTTCCAAAAATTATTCAGTGTGTATCGATGCACAGGAAGTGCATCGATGCACCCCTTAAAATGGAAACATCGAATGCAATTAATGCATCGATGCATAAGGAGTGCATCGATGCACAGGTTAAGGGATGCATCGATACACTGTAGAATGTATCGATGCACTTCAAGGGGAAATTGAAATAGACATTTCTTTTGGTCTAAGAAATGATAGATTAGAGTATATCAATTAAATACTGATATGTATCAATGTATGATTATGTAGATATCGAACATGAACAAGTTCCAGAATGATTATCATGTTAAGATTCAATCGAAAGAGAGGAAATCATAAAAGTGGATTGGAGCTTAGTGAGGCCAAGGTGAGTGCATAATATTAGATTGTGTATATTATGTATGAAATTAGACTTGTGATAAGTTTGTTTCCAATATTTTATATGTTTTCATGAATAGAAGCATGATTAAGTTTGTATTATGTGTATATGCTTTGTTCATATTATATGTTATGAGGAGTGAATTTATATGATACGGGTTATGTAACTATATGTGAACCTTATAACCTGTATGAGAAAGATTAATGTGCTACTATGATATAGAAATTACATGGTAAAGATCTATGAAGTCATATGAAAAGGTTATAAGAGTAATGTAAACTTGAATTAAGAGAATATAAGAAATTTGTATATAAATGAATTTATATGAGTGATATATGTTAGTATGCTACAATATATGTTATAGGATCTATGTAAGCATAAGAGAACAAAATATGAGCTAGGGGTTATGAATATAAATGATGATATGATTATGTACAACAAATTAGGGAATTATGATCTAGGTGTTTATATGTCTATAAAAAGATATAAGAACAATATATATAATCTACGAAATAGGAAATGTGGGATTTTAGTGCTATATAACATTATTTATGTGATTAAGTACAAATGTGATATCCATATATGACAATGATTTGTGAAATTGTATGGAAATGTGATATGATCTATGAGATAATAAATCATGTGAATTATATGGAAGTGATTTGTGTGAACATGTCTGATATGTCTTACATGATATGTATGATTTCACAATAAATGACATGAGCTATATGATTACATGATTATAAGAGATCAGACATGAGATAAGAGATAAGTGTTATGAATGTGTGAATATGAAATGACATAAATAGTAATGCCCATGTTATGTGTCATAAGAGCTAGGGGTATAGTTGGCATGCCAAGAGTCGAGGGTCTACACGGTCCTTCGGGACATATATGTATTCCTGGAACATGTGTGATGTCTTTTGAGACACATACTTGATTCTTTGTATATGTATATGATTCTTAAGGAATTTTCTACGTGGTCCTTAGGGACATTTTATATGGCACTTCGGTGCAATTCTACGCGGAACTTCGGTGCATTTATACAAGCTGTGGTGATAGCATTTGTGCACAACCTATACAGACTCACATATCTATAGTTCTCATATATGTACATGGGCTAATAAAGAAATAACAACAAACATATTACATGTGACTTGTATGCTTTTGTGCTATGAATTGTATTATATGATGATATGTGGATTGTATGATTAAATAAGTCAAATGTTGGTTAAAATACTAGGTATAAGAGGATATGCACGGAGTGAGATAAATAATAATGATATTTATAATGAAATGATGCTAATGATGGAAATGATAAGTATATGTGTGTATATATGTTCTTACATGTAATGATATATTGCATATGTGTTATAGGGATTTGTTACATGAATAAGGGTATGAGTGATAGCAGTAATAGTTCATGCTTGATTACAAGTTATAGTTTACATTATATGTTTATTTGCCTCACTAAGTCATAACTTAGCGTGTGATTGTTTCACACGTAGGTTACAGAAGCGAGAAGAGAAGCGAAGAAGCGCAAAACATGTCAACATCTCTCGTACAAAATTTCAGATCAGAAAATAGATTATTTAAATGTGTTTGGTTAATTTGAATATAGTTGCATGTATTAAGTGATTGAGTTGAATATGCTCTAATCAATTTTGGTTATTTTGGTCAATTTATGTAGATAAATCGCTTTTATTTTAATGGAAGTTTTAAATTTATTTGAATTTTGTTCAGAGTAAAAGTTTGAAAAGTCAATGTGACACCTCAGACTCGTATCCGGGTCGGGTACGAGGTGGGGGTGTTACATGGACTATCATAAAGCGTTGCTACACGAGAAACCATACCCAATGTCAACAGATACCGATGACTCTTACTATCGTTTATTGTAATAAGGATCTACAATAAATGTCACACACAATTTAACAAAATATAACATTTCTTTATAAATATTAAAATACAAAACATCATTTGCAAATAAAATGGTTTCTTACCGTGTCACAATTGGTTAATTTGGCATAGTATTTCAATATGGACTTCCAAATATCGTGTCACAAATGGTATCTTACCGTGTCACAATTGGTTAATTTCGTATAGTCTTTCAATATGGACTTTCAAAAGTCCACAACAACATCACCAGTCAGATTGTTTTCTAATACCTTTGACTGCATTTCCTCAACAATCATTATTAATTGACCATCCATAACACTTTATTTCAATATTTATTAATTTAACTCACTGAAAAGTTGTATGGAAGGTAGACATTCTTCCGCTTCCCCGGTATGTTCTTCTTTGATTCGTAAACCAACACCCAGCCGACCAAATCAATAACCTTACAAAATTAATTACACAATTCCAACCTATTCCAATCAATATACACATTTTAAACAACAAAAACAATTTATATTTTCTACTTATCGCACTACTAACCCATGCACTAGGTTTTAACGTCGCAACGTCAATTACTGTGGCGTGTTGGTTTCCCAATTCGATTACAACTTTGTTGTATAATATTTTTTGGATTAATGTTTTCAAATAAATATTTAAATATCATTCACAAAGCAACATATATTATTTACTTCAATGCTAACCCACTATTCCATACATAGTCACACATTGCATTTTCAAATACACATTTTTTTGGTATTTTCCCATTTTTAGCCGGTTTCAACCTACAATTTTGATTATAAATATTAGTCATAACACGATAATCAAAATCAAAATAAATTTTCTTTTATTCATCTTACCTTCTGCTTCTTCTTAGGTGCAACATTCTAAATCCAGCTCGGCATCGATGACATTCTCTGGTATCCCATATAATCATCAAACTCTTTGACCTTTTCATTCCTCCTCACTTCATCCAACTTTTCTTCATCATATTTTTCCTCCACATAACTCTTCATGTCTTTCATTTCAACCATGGTATTTTTCCCGTCATCAAACTTTTTTTAAGCTCTCTCATCACCCCTTTCAATTCACCCCTCAATTCCACCACTTCTTTCACCACTTCATCAACTTTTTCCCCCCACTTACTCCTTAATGCTCTCAATCCCCTATTCGATTCTGGATTGTCTTTGCAAACAATTAAAATGACTTTTTTTAAGCTCCGCCAACTTAGACATCAAAATGTCAAATTTATTTGCACTCCCCTCACCAAAATCCCCCTTCTACGTTCTCCTTTTCCTCCTTGCCAATAATCTTCAAAAATAAATTACAATATTAAAACACTTTTTTAAATCCTTAATATTATATAATTACTTTTATTACACTTTCTTTCTTTGCCAGTCTTTTCAACTTTAACTTTGTCATCACTCGAACAACTTATTCTTTGCCCTATGCAAGGGTGCGTGACACTCTGCTCTTTGGAAGACTGACACATTTGTAGAATCAGTCCAAAAATCAAACAATAGAACCAATATTTATAACGAACTTTATCATTTTCTATAATAAATATACTTAAAAGTTTTTTAACCCGTCACATTCTTCAACTCTTTTACCTATGAGATTGATATGCACTTTTTGAGGTATGTGTAGCTGTCGGCTTCTGAAAGTTCATGATTGCATCAATCAATTTTCATGGACAAATTGATCCCAATTGAATTCACCTTTCAATCCTTCGTCACAAATCAACTTCTTATTGTCCTTGCTCAGGGATGTATCACCCGTTGAACAAAGAAAGATTCTGATAAGATATAATAGTACTCGGGCCTTCAGGTTATCCCCATCATAACGACCACTTTTAATATCTTCCTCGAGTACAACATATGTAATCTTGGTCTTTAAATCATACTTGTTGGCAAGTGTTTTCCTATTCTTCCTCTTAATTACTTCTTCAACACTACTGCATATATCTTGTAGGCCCAATATGACTACAACACATGGGACCCCCAGAGGAAATGAATATTCACCGAACCAAACTCGACAATTTTTCACATCAAATTCCTCCATCAACGATCGACACAATTCCCTCCAAATTGTTCGATCCTTCACTCGATCAAAGATCCAAACCCTATTTCTTTCAACACATATTATTTCTTCTTATCTTCAAGTGTTAATTATGTCCTGAACTCTTTTGATGTTACACATTGTCGATACTTCCTACATTTTTAAAATATATATAATGTTAGTGTTTTTATATATCATTTATCACAACATTTACAAGTTTAATGAATACATTATGTTCATGTGATTTCCTCCAAGCTTTATGTTTTTCTCTGTCATTTTTGGACAATGTCGTATATGGTTCATTCTTAACATAAACACTTCTTCATATCGAACCCATTTTAAGACTCATTCTAAATTCAGTTTACATATCGAACCCATTTTGTAACTAACAACTTTCTTCATCATTTGGAATTCAGTTATATTGTTAAGATTTGAAAATTGTAATCAATTTCAAGTTCTTAAATACTTTAATTCAATTATCATTTCAACAACAATTACACAAATACATTGATACTTACTAGAAGTACACATATCCACATAGTGGTTGCTTTCGATTTTCTTTAGTCTCGATACTCTCCGACTATATTTCAAAGTCATATTCGCGAAAAACAATTGAGAGATCCATTGATTTCGTTTATCCTTAATATATCAATTTATGAACATTCTTGCATTGAATTAAATCAAATACTTGTTACATACAATTTATCCAATATACAAGTATCGATAATTAATCCTATAATAACCGTTTGAGTTCAAAAAATGAGAATATTTTTTAATACAAGTATTTATACCTATAACATATACAACCTACAATATCAATTTCTACCTATAATGTTTATAAAAGTATCGATATTTATTTTCTACCTAGAATATCAATTTCTACCTATAATCGATCCCAAATCCTTATTTACTTCGAAAACCTTAAACCCTAACCATATTTTCAATTACTATAATACAAAAAAAATTAGGTTTTCAATAACATACATTTCAATTCAATTATAATCAGGGGAACCCTTTTGTTTCGCAGCAACAAAAAACTACGAGACGTTTATGTAATGATTTCTATTTCGCAGAAACGTATGCCCCTTCAAATTCTCTGTTATGCCTTCAAAATATTTTAACCGGTTATGTTAATTATATTTAATCGATAATATTCCCCAAGTATCGATGCTTTTGTGTAAGGTATCGATACTTTCGAACCGTTTTTTTTTCAATTCTTTTTTTCAATTCTTTTAAATTACTAAAGTACCGATACTTTTATATATATACTTACAAAAGTATTGATACCAAACTATAATTATGTACACGTCAACAATTTCGGTAGAGCTTAACCGGTTTTGTCCAATTTCAATCGATATTGTCAAATTCCTACCGGTTTTGTCCTTCAACCGATTTTGTCAAATTGCAACCGGTTTTGTCAAATTTTAACATATTATATTGTCATGTATCGATACATGTGTGTAAGGTATCGATACTTTAGATATGTTTTTATTGTAATTTTTTTAAATTACTAAAGTACCGACAATTTTATACATATACTTAAAAACGTATTGATATCAAACTATAACATATAATGTTTAAGTCAACATTTATGGTCTCGATAAACCGGTATTGTCAAATTTTAGCCGGTTTTCTTCACTTTCTTATATTTTACTATATATATCGATACTTGTGTGCACGATATCGATGCTTCTTACCTGTAAATCAATACTTGTACGGATATTTGTCTACATGTATTGAAAAATAGTATCGATACCAAACTATAATATATTATGTGTAAATCAACATTTTCGGTCTAGCAATACTGATTTTATTAAGTTTCTTATATGTTACTACACGTATCGATAATTGTACATTAGTACCGATACTTACAGTCTCACATTTTTTCCCCAGTTCAACCAACCTCAAATGTTAAATTTTCACCAATTTGTTTAAGTTCTTACCTGTTTTCTTCTCATGTATCGATACTTGTATACATGAATCAAAAAGGTATCGATATCTAAATATAACATATTATGTGTAATTTGACATTTCCGGTCGCGCTCAAACGATTTGTTTAAGTTTCAACCTTTTGTCTACTCATGAACTCATGTATCAATACTTATATATATGTATTGATACCTACCGATAATCGAAGTTTGTCGGTTACCAAATTTTTTAATATTTCTTCATATTTTCCACCTAGAACATTATTATTAGGTCAACATTTTCGATCGCGCTTAACCGACTTTATTAAGTATCTTATTAAATTTTCGATCACATTTTTTCTTAACCTTATATTAATATGTCTTTCTTTAACATTATATTAATTCGTCTTTCCTTATACATTCCCGATTTTATTGACCTTTGGAATGAAGATAAAGGTCCTAAATTGAATAAAATATGAATTTCCAATTCGTCATCTGGGTCGTCATTCTTCAATTTTTTTAAATCAGATTGCATACGGAGATATATGAATGGTTGGTAAAGTGAATACATATATAGGTGCAAAGAAATGAAGAATCGTCCCCTTCAACTGCTCTTTCGTCATGGTTTTTAGAACCGGACTGATCAACGAACCGATCGTATTATTGGTTCATTGGTTTAACCGTCGAATCGGTTAGACCGGTCGAAAGAATCGGACGACGTTATAATTAATTAATTATTTAAAAAATAAATAAAAATATAAAAAACATTTAATAAAAAATAGTTTTTTTATATCACAAGCCACATTCAAAGCAAATTATAACATATATAAGTTAAAAATCATAAAATCAAGTGAAACAAAATGATTCAAATCAATTACAACATAATATTTAAGGTAAAACATATTAAATAATAAATATAATTATAATCAAAAAAATAAATTTGGGGCTAAAAAAATTATAACAAACGATGTCGTTTGGTTTAATTTTTTTTTAAATCCACATGGCTAAGAAACATAGAAGAGCATCACAAAAGTCTAAAGAGTAAAAATATGAAAACAAAACAATCCCAAATAACTAAGAAATATAGAAGAGCATCCCAACTGACTTCTATAAATAATAGAGATAATTTGGCTTTCAAAATCATGGAGTCTTTTGGTGAGCACAGAGCGAACTATTCTTTCGCTTCAATCAAGCTTGAATTTAGGTTTCAATCGAGCTTCTATTTTTTTTAGTTCGAGCCTTTTTGAGTTCAAGTTTCAATATTATATTTCGAGTTCGAGTTGAACTTGATAATTTTTAGCTCTAGAGTTTTTGAGTCGAGTTGACTTACTTTTAAAGTTTTCGAGTTTGAGTCGAGCTCAGCAATACTCGAGTTCGACTCGGCTCATTTAACAAACGACACGTCGTTTTATTTAATTTTTTTTAGAAAAAAAACATAACCGGTTTTCAACTGGTTCATGGTCCAGTCCGGTTCAAATGATTCACAGCCGGTTCAGCGGTTCTTTCAGTTCACTAATAACGGTTTAATCGTGTAAAATAAACCGAATCAGATAACGATTCCCGATTAAACCGATCGATCCAGTCCGATTTTCAAAACACTGATTTCCATCCTTACTGCTTTCGCTTTCTTTTTAAAGATAACATTCAATTGGTGTTACTTTTCTTTCCCTTTCTTTGAGGTTTCTGCGTTCTTTTCTACACGAATTTATCTTGATGTAGGGGTAAAAGTGAAGTATCCACGCGCCAAGGTAAAGATCGGATAAAAGATGAAACAAATGCAAAAAGAACAGGCACTGTAGCATCTTAAAAACCAAAAAGTAAAGTCTCTCTCTCCCCCCCCCCTCTCTCTTTATTAGATCCTCTCTTCCTTTGCAATAGGATCTACGAAACACTGCCAAATCCTCAGCCTTCTCTTCTCTCTCTTTGTTTTATTTTACCCATTACAATTTTTTTTTCTTTTTTCTAAAAAATAACAATAAAAAGTAAAGTGGTATTCAAATTAGTTAATTCATTTAGCATTTGAATT